CCAGGGTAGAAACATTGGGCGTGTCTATGTTCACCCATCAGTAAATGGGTACAAAGGCGAAAGGAGGAAAGAGAGGGGATGGAGAAGACAGACAGGAGATCCCAGACCCAGGAAGAAGATCAAAGACAGCCTCCCTCACAACTTCCTATAGAAGCCTCCCAACCAGGTCAACCCCAGTGCAACCAAACACTCTAAATCAAATCACCCATGCCACATCCAATGCCCCCACCCACTACATTACAAACTCCACCCCCACAGTAACAACCCATAGTTCCTTACCAGGTCTCCCACTTCCCCAACCCCAATATACCTCCCAGACCACAGTCTTAGAAAAGAAGTTAAAGGTGTGGTATACAAATGCAGATGGAATAACAAACAAGTATGAGGAGTGGCACGAAAGAATCAAAGAGAGATCCCCAGACATAATAGCACTCACAGAAACAAAACTCACCAGAATAATAACAGATTCAATCTTTCCATCCGGATATCAAATCCTCAGGAAAGACTGAGGGAGGAGAGGGGGAGGAGAAGTTGCACTGCTCATTAAAAACCAGTGGGGTTTTGAGAAAATGGAAGGAATGAATGGCACGGGCGAAAGGGACTACTTAGTAGGAACAATCCAGTCTGAGGGACATAAGGTGATAATTGCAGTAATGTACAACCCACCACAGAACTGCATGAGGCCAAGAGAAGAATACGATGAGAGCAACAGAGCAATGATCGACACACTAGCCGAGGTGGCCAGGAGAGCACACATGGGGGGAGCAAAGTTACTAGTTATGGGTGATTTCAATCACAAGGAGATTGACTGGGAAAACTTGGAGCCCCATGGGGGTCCCGAAACATGGAGAGCCAAGATGATGGATGTGGTACTGGAAAACCTCATGCATCAACATGTTAGAGACACTACCAGAGAGAGAGGAGAGGATGAACCAGCAAGGTTGGACCTTGTATTCACCATGAGTAGTTCGGACATCGAGGGTATCATGTATGAAAGGCCCCTGGGAGCTAGTGATCATGTGGTTCTGTGCTTCGACTACATAGTTGAGCTCCAAGTGGAGAAAGTAGCAGGAATAGGCTGGGAAAAACCAAACTACAAAAGGGGGAACTACTCAGGCATGAGGAACTTCCTTCAAGACATTTAGTGGGAGAGGGAACTGACAGGAAAACCAGTACAAGAAATGACGGACTATGTAGCAACAAAATGCAAGGAGGCAGAGGAGAGGTTTGTTCCCAAGGGAAACAGAAATAATGGGAAGAACAGAACGAGTCCTTTGTTCACCCAAAGGTGTAGGGAGGAAAAAACTAGGTGTACTAGAGAATGGAAAAGGTACAGAAGACAGAGAACTCAGGAAAATAAAGAAATCAGCCGAAGAGCCAGAAACGAATATGCACAGATAAGAAGGGAGGCTCAGAGACAATATGAAAATGACATAGCATCAAAAGTAAAGACTGACCCGAAGCTGTTGTACAGCCACATCAGGAGGAAAACAACAGTCAAGGACCAGGTAATCAGACTGAGGAAGGGTGATGGGGAATTCACAAGAAACGACCAAGAGGTATGTCAGGAGCTCAACACAAGATTTAAAGAGGTATTTACAGTGGAAACCAGTAGGACTCCAAGAAATCAGAACAGGGAGGCACACCAGCAAGTGCTGGATGAGGTACATATAACCAAGGAGGAGGTGAAGAAGCTGCTATGCGAACTTGACACCTCAAATGCGGTGGGACCAGACAACATCTCTCCATGGGTCCTTAAAGAGGGAGCAGAGATATTGTGTGAGCCATTAACAAAGATCTTCAACACATCATTTGAAACTGGGCAACTCCCTGAGGTATGGAAAATGGCAAATGTAGTCCCAATTTTTAAAAAGGGAGACAGACATGAGGCACTAAACTACAGACCTGTATCACTAACGTGTATAGTATGCAAGGTCATGGAGAAGATCATCAGGAGGAGAGTGGTGGGGCACCTGGAAAGAAACAAGTGTATAATTGTCAACCAGCACGGTTTCAGGGAAGGAAAATCCTGTGTCACAAACCTACTAGAGTTTTATGACAAGGTGACAGAAGTAAGACAAGAGAGAGAGGGGTGGATCGACTGCGTATTTTTGGACTGCAAGAAGGCCTTCGACACAGTTCCTCACAAGAGGTTACTGCAAAAGCTAGAGGACCAGGCACACATAGCAGGAAAGGCACTGCAATGGATCAGAGAATATCTGACAGGGAGGCAACAACGAGTCATGGTAAGCGACGAGGTGTCAGAGTGGGCGCCTTTGACAAGCGGGGTTCCACAGGGGTCAGTCCTAGGACCTGTGCTGTTCTTGGTATATGTGAACGACATAACGGAAGGGATAGACTCAGAAGTATCCTTGTTTGCAGATGATGTGAAATTAATGAGAAGAATCAAATCGGACGAAGATCAGGCAGGACTACAAAGTGACCTGGACAGGCTACAAGCCTGGTCCAGCAACTGGCTCCTTGAATTTAACCCTGCCAAATGCAAAGTCATGAAGATTGGGGAAGGGCAAAGAAGACCGCAGACACAATATAGTTTAGATGGCCAAAGACTGCAAACCTCACTCAAGGAAAAAGATCTGGGGGTGAGTATAACACCGAGCATATCTCCTGAGGCGCACATCAATCAGATAACTGCTGCAGCATATGGGCGCCTGGCAAACCTACGGATAGCGTTCCGATACCTCAGTAAGGATTCGTTTAAGACTCTGTACACCATCTACGTCAGGCCCATACTGGAGTATGCAGCACCAGTTTGGAATCCACACCTAGTCAAGCACGTCAAGAAATTAGAGAAAGTGCAAAGGTTTGCAACAAGACTAGTCCCAGAGCTACGGGGTTTGTCCTATGAAGAAAGGTTGAGGGAAATCGGCCTGACGACACTGGAGGACAGGAGGGTCAGGGGAGACATGATAACGACATATAAAATACTGCACGAAATAGACGAGGTGGACAAAGACTGGATGTTCCAGAGATGGGACACAGACACAAGAGGTCACAATTGGGAGTTGAAGACTCAGATGAATCAAAGGGATGTTAGGAAGTATTTCTTCAGTCATAGTGTAGTCAGGCCATGGAATAGCCTAGAAAGTGATGTAGTGGAGGCAGGAACCATACATAGTTTTAAGGCGAGGTATGATAGAGCTCATGGGGCAGGGAGAGAGAGGACCTAGTAGCAATCAGCGAAGAGGCGGGGCCAGGAGCTGTGACTCGACCCCTGCAACCACAAATAGGTGAGTACAAATAGGTGAGTACACACACACACACACACACACACACACACACACACACACACACACACATACATACATACACACACACACACACACACACACACACACACACACACACACACACACACACACACACACACACACACACACACACACACACACAAAATACTGCGTGGAATAGACAAGGTGGACAGAGGCAGGATGTTCCAGAGAGGTGACGCAGAAACAAGGGGTCACAATTGGAAGTTGACCCAGATGAGTCATAGGGATGTTAGGAAGTATTTCTTCAGTCATAGAGTACTCAGGAAGTGGAATAGCCTAGCAAGCGAGGTAGTAGAGTCAGGAACCATACATAGCTTTATGATGAGATACGATAAAACTCATGGAGCAGGGAGAGAGAAGACCTAGTAGCACTCAGTGAAGAGGCGGGAACAGGAGCTGAGTCTCGACCCCTGCAACCACAATTAGGTGAGTACACACACACACACACACACACACACACAAACATTAACACCCTTCCAGTGCAGTTACTGTACCTCCCATCTCCAGGACTCAAGTCCTGTCTACGGTTTTCCTGAATCCCTTCATATATGTTACCTTGCTCACAATCCAAGAGCACGTCAAGTCCTAAAAACCATTTGTCTCCATTCGCTCCTATCTAAAACGCTCACGCATACTTGCTGGAAGTCCAAGCCCCTCGCACACAAAACCTCCTTTACAAACTCCCTTCAATCTTTACTAGGCCGACCCCTACCCCGCCTTCCCTCCACTACAGATTTACACTCTCACGAAGTCATTCTATTTCGTTCCAACCTCTCTACATGTCCGAACCACCTCAACAATCGCTCCTCAGCCCTCTGGATAATAGTATTGGTAATCCCACACCTCCTAATTTCCACCACACGTTGCCCTCAGACATGACATCTCTACTGCCTCCAGCCTTCTCCTTGTTGCAAAATTCACTACCCATGTTTCAAACCCATATATGAGTGTTGGTGTAACTATTCTCTCATACATTTCCCTCTTTGCTTCCACTGACAAAGTTTTTTGTCTTTACAGACTTCTAAGTGCACCACTCACCTTTTTCCCACTACCCACCTTTTTCCCCTCATCAATTCTATGATTCACCTCAAATTTCATAGAACCATCTGCTGACACATCCACTCATATATATATATATATATATATATATATATATATATATATATATATATATATATATATATATATATATATATATATATGTATATATATATATATATATATATATATATATATATATATATATATATATATATATATATATATATGTATATATATATATATATATATATATATATATATATATATATATATATATATATATATATTATATATATATATATATATATATATATATATATATATATATATATATATATATATATATGTATATATGTATATATATATATAAATATATATATGTATATATTGCGCTCATGGAGTACTTTACATACTAATATACGTTATGCTCATTATTGAAGCTATCTGTTGAGATGGTAACTAGTTAAGTTTACTGTCGTCTCTACTGCTATGTAGATTATTATTATATTCTTGAGGAAGTAATGAACTTGTAAAGGTCATACAATGTCTTGTTTGATCTAAGAAAGTTAAGTTTGCACCACATACTTACACTATAGGGCTCCCTGGTATCTGTTTGAATCTAATACTTGCGGGACAATAACATACGTAAAGATAAAAGAGACTTACCTATCTCTCCCAAGTCCACCACTGGAATGTTAGTTTCTGCTCCTTGCTGTAACTCCTTCATCATAGGTTTTTTATGCAGTGTGCTGCTTTGAAGGATGTCTTGTAAAGTCTTCGCACTTCTTACTGTTCTCTGTTTTCGTGTGTTCTAAAAGGATTTGCACTCTCTTCGAAATTAAGTTTCCCTTAAGTTGCTTTCTGTTGAGCAATGTCTGGATGTTGCATATGAAGATCCTCGGGTGATGTGTTGGATGTAGTCTAGTTCTCTACAAATTTAAACAATATAAATTATCTTCTGTGAATCTCGATTTTAAAGAAATGCTTTACTTTTCTTTATTTCAAATTTTTCTTAATTCCATCTCTTTTGATTCACTGACCCGCTTACCTAATGTTTAGCATTTAAACCTGAGTCTCATACATGCGTTTCGATTTTGTTTATTATTCCCTTTGTTCCTACGCTGTATCCCATAATAATTCAACATTGAGCTACGTCGACTCTCCTTCCGCGAGCAAGAATGTATGTTCATTATGTAAATGTTTCGTTTACGATTTATTATGACATCTATGAATTGCATAAATGATTGTTAATGAAGTTACTGTATAGGATATTGAGTTTTTATTGTCTTACTGTAAATGATATGGGAGATTCGTGCAAATATCAACATCAACGAAGTGAAAATATTATTGTCCCATGTTTAATATTAATAAGGCTTGCAATATCATGTTGCTGTGTACAGTTTGATTATTATAAAATCCATGGGGAAACGCTAACCCAACATGAGTAACAGAGACTTTGGAACTGGAAAGGGCAGAAAATTACCAGGTTAACTTCCAGGAAGGAGAGGATGACTCCAGTTTCCTGAATGTGAATGAAAAGTCATTCATTAGCATCATGGCTCCCTCTTGATGGAAAAAGTGTCCGAATTTTACTGTACAAATTAGCCAGAAAATTAACGATATAAATATCCGTGGACATGCGTCACTAAGAGTAAAAGCTACAACACTGTGGCTGGAACAGTTCACAAATAACTTGCACTTAGGAAAAGGATCGGTTAAGAAATTTATGAAATCTATGTAGTTTAGTTCCCTTTCCTAAGTCAGGTTATTTGTAAATTGTGTCACAAGGATTATCCTGCGTATTTTATATCACTTGTAACCCGACTGAAAAAGAAATCAGGAAAGACAAGATCTGAACCCATAGCAAGCCAGTCCTAAAATCTGAGGACAATTCTTAAGCATACTTACGCAAATATGATCCTTCACTTCCAGGACAATAATGGCGCCCCTGGAAGGCTGAACGACATACATTAATTTTAACTCCAATGTATTAGCATTAAATTCTTAGGGAGAAGGCTAAACCTATAAGTTTTAAACAACGCCTGGGGAATGTAATCATATTCGATCAGAGAAAGGGAAGGACAGTCCCATTTTCTTGGATAATAAGCCATTATCCAGTATCACTGCTACAGCCGTCTATGGTGTTTCTGTGATGCCTGTTTGTGATAACTTTAGGAGTCCTGTGCATGTAGTCACTGGTACGTAAAACAGTTGGTCCGAGGCAGTGTCCGTTAAAGTACATTCCTGAAAGGGGAAGGATTTTTCCAACAGCTTCCCGATGCTGGTCCGCAGCACTAGCATTGTTCTAGCCTACCAGATACTACTTGGAGACGCTTCTGGAGGTCACCTTCCCTGCGGTCTGCGGTCCGGTCCCAGACCAGTCTTTCTGGTTGCTGGCATGATCGATAAAGCTGTTAGGTCAAGCTGCCCGTAGTCAAACGTATGCATTACAATCTGGCTGATCAGAAACTGTTTTGAAGAATCTGTAAGGTTCCCTCTTGAAAGCAGATAAGGGTTTGCTGGTAATCCTCCCTTATATTAAGCATGAATACATCAAGGGAGAGTGCTAAAGAGTCGTGGTTCCTTAACATTTATTGATCTTCCTTCCAGTGTACTCATCGCTTCCCTGCTTTTCATTGGAGGTATCCTACACCGTCTGCCAAGCCTTTTGTGCTTGTAAATAGTAATTTTGGGATGCAGTTTGGGACCAATGTCTCTTCACATAGTGTGATTCTTTTGGCAGCAAATGCAATTAGAAAATGAATCCAAGATTGGATGCACTTTTTGAATCCGTTGTAGAAAAAAGTACACCATATAAAGTAACTTTATGAGAGTGCTGACTTTAGTAGTGTAGCAGTCAATACGTATATTTTATTCACTAAAACGATTGAAACGTCGCTAGATGTATCTCAGTGTTTGCGCCCTGATGTCTCTGTGTATACTGGTCTCGGTATATATATACCGTAAAGTGTCTTGAAGGGTATATACCCTCATGTGTCTCGATGTATACACCCTGATGCCTCAATGTTCCTTGAAGTATACATCAAGTCTTGGTGAATGCACCTTGCCTGGAGTCTACCTGGAAATCGTTCCGAGAGTCAGCGTCACCGCGACCCGGTGCGCGACCAGGCCTCCCGGTGGATCAGGGCCTGATCAACCGGGCTGCTATTGTTGGCTAGTTCCCTCTTGAAGATAGGCATAGGTCTATTGGTAATTTTCCCATATGTATAATGGGAGGTTGTTGAACAGTCTTGGGCCCCTGGACACTTATTGTGCTTTTCTGCAGTGTACTCACGGCCCCCTTGCTTTTCATTTCGGGTATGTTGCACTCTGCTTTAGCAGGGAGTGATTTCTCTGTGCAGATTTGGAACCAGTCCCTCTAAAATTTCCAGGGGTTGATTATAATATATCTTTCTCGCCTGCATTCCAGGGACTACAGGTTAAAGGACTTCAAACATAATCTCTTATGTCACATGACTTGTTGACGGCGATTTTATGTAACTTAGGGTTGGTCACTACATTTCTTATTTTCTGTTTCCCACTTTCTGGCATCACCACACTACCTTACACTGAGAAAACTTCTTCTTATTTCACCTGTTCCTACTCTTGCAACATTGCATAGCTTCTGATGATGCATGAGGATGTGGGAAAGATCTTGTGCTGTGGATTTCCATTCCCCATGGCTTGTCTCGCACTGTTCAGATCATCTGCCTGCGATTGTATGGCATACACACTCACACTCACACACACACACACACACACACACACACACACACACTAACACACACACACCACACAGACACACACACACACACACACACACACACACACACTCACACAACACACACACACACACAACACACACACACACACACACACACACACACACACACACAGCTGAGTCTCGACCCCTGCAACTAAATTAGGTGAGTACACACACACACACCACACACACACAGCTGAGTCTCGACCCTGCAACTACAATTAGGTGAGTACACACACACATACACACACACACACACACACACACACATACACACACACACACACTCACACACACACACACACTCACACACACACACACACACACACACACGCACACACACCTCGGGGCCAGGAGCTCGGAATCGAGCCCCGCAACCTCAACTAGGTGAGTACACACACACAGCTAGGTCTTGACCCCTGCAACTACAATTAGGTGAGTACACACACACAGCTGGGTCTTGACCCCTGCAACTACAATTAGGTGAGTACATACACACACACACACACAACACACACACACACACACCACACACACACACACACACATACACACACACACACAACACACACACACACACACACTCACACACACACACACACACACACACACACACACACACACACACCACAGCTGGGTCTTGACCCTGCAACTACAATTAGGTGAGTACATACACACACACACACACACACACACACACACACACTGGTAATGGGCGATTTCAACCACAGGGAGATCGACTGGGAAAACTTGGAGCCACATGGGGGTCCCGAAAACATGGAGAGCCAAGATGATGGATGTGGTACTTGAAAACCTCATGCATCAACATGTCAGGGACACAACCCAGAGACAGGGGGGGGGGATGAGCCAGCAAGATGGATCTTGTGTTCACCCTGAGCAGTTCGGGACTCGGGACATACTTACGAGGGGCCCCCTTGGAGCTACGATCATGGGGTTTCGATTTTTGACTATATTAAGTTAAAATAGAAGGTAACAGGAACTGAAGGGAAGGCCAAACTATAAAAGGGGGGACTACACAGGTATGGAAACTTCCGCAGGAGGTTCAGTGGGACAGAAAAAGGTGGGAAAAAATCGTAAACGAGAAAATGGATAGGGGCAACAAAGTGAAGGGGGCAGGGGAAAGTTTTTTTCCCAAAAGGGAAACAAAAAATAATGGGAAGGGACCAAAACGACCCTTTGGGTTTTTCCCCGAAGGTGTAGGGGGGGCAAAAATAAGTGAACAGAGAAGGAAAGGTAAAGGGGGGCATGGGCCCCAGGAAAAAAAGGGAATTAGTAAAGAGCCAGAAACGGTATGCGCAGATAAGGAGGGACCCCCCAGCGACAGTTAAAAAAAGACATAGATCGAAAGTAAAATCGACCCGAAACTGCTGTAAGCCACATTAGGAGGAAGACACAGTCAAGGACCGGGTGATAAGGCTGAGGAAAGGAAGGGGGAGAAATCCCAAAAAACGATAAGAGGTATGTGAGGAGCTCAACAAAGAGATTAAGGAAGTATTTACGTAGAGCAGGGAAAGGGCCTTGGGGGACGACAATGGGGACACCAAAAAAGGAATAACCAACAAGTGTTGGAGACATACAACAGATGAGGAGGAGGGGAAGAAACTGCTAAGGGGGCTCGATACCCAAAGCAATGGGACCCGGAAAAATCTCTCCATGGGTCCTTAGAGAGGGAGCAGATAGTTGTGCGTCCACTTACACAATCTTCAACACATCCCCGGAAAATGGGCAACTATGGGTATGGAAGACGGCAAATGTAGTTCCCATTTTTAAAAAAAGGGGACAGAAAAAAGGCACTAAACTATAGACCTTTCATTGACGGTATAGTATTTTAAAATTAGGGGGAAAAATTATCAGGAGGAGAGTGGTGGAGCACCTGGGAAGGAACAGGAGATAAAAGCCAAAACCCGCACGGATTTACGGAAGGCAAATCCTGTGTCACAAACCTTCTGGGTTTTACGATAAAAAAACAGAAGTAAGACAAAGAGAGAGGGGGGGTTGATTGATCTTCTTGACTGCAAGAAGGGTTTCACAGTTCCCCACAAGAGATTTGTGCAGAACTAAGCATCAGCGCATATAACAGGAAAGCACTGCAATGGAAAAAGAAACCCACAGGGGGGCAACACGATCATGGTACGTAAAGATTTT